TAATGGATGATTTATAAAGAAGTTACAAGTTCAATCAGAAAACATAAATTTAGATGGTAAGTGAGTGATTAGCCTTACCAGGTGATACCTTAAATTGAGTTTCACAGAGATAAGGAGAATAATTTGTCTTGTAAAAGGGTGTTCTAAAGTAACTGTAACCATCTGTGTGAGCTTTGATGAAAGGAGACAATTATTTAAGGTTCGAGATACAACTGTGGTAGCTCATGGGGTAGCATAAGTGAATTATTCATTGATACTATTGTGATACAAGTAGAGAAAAATAATTCACTTTGTCAGTTGGATTCTAAAGTAATTGAATCAGCATGTGTGTGGACTTTGACAAGAAAAGAGAATTATTTAGAGTTTTAGATTAAACTGTGATATCCTATAGTGTAAAGAATTTTTGTACATATGTTTGACTTGTTTTGAACATATTACTTTAAAACAAGAGGACTGTGGGCTATCCATTTATTGTTGACATTTATCGCCAACAAGTCATAGATACCTATTGTAGAAGAATCCTCAGCCCACTTGTATAGTATTACTAAAACCTTGGGAATATAGTTACAATTTATGTTAGATTATAATAGTATTCACTGTTTTGTTTATTACTCATGAAACTGTCATACCATGTACATTCAGATGTATTACAGTTTTGAGATTGTTTGAGTACTATCTTGAAACATTTTCAGAACTTTTTTTTTAAATCTTTGGTGAAAAATTCCATGTCTGCAAAATACTGTATTTTTGACAAAACAACAATAAGAATTTCTTTTTTTAAATAATATTTAACCACTATAAAAAACATTAAAATCATTTACTGGAAATAAGTAAAGATTAATTGAGCTCTAGGTATAGTTATATCAAAAAGAAGTCATTACTGTATCAATATTACTACGTACTTGCATAGGTTGTAGTTGATTGCCAAATATATTTACTCGCAGTTGAAAAGAGTTAAACAAAGCTGTAACTAAATGTCTTATACATATATTATAATGGTTACTAAACAAATAATAAAAGTGTGTTACTCATGGTTTGAAAGTAGTTTAGATTTGAGGTGAATATTCAGCAATGTAATGATAATTTTCCAAGTTTATATTTTTGCATAAATTTTAAAAGTTTATGGCTAAGGGGAGAGCTTGAATCTTCCAAACTTTCTTCTTCATAGCATGCAAGCCCTAAATAATGCACTATTAGTAATATTTGTAGTATGTAAGCAATACACACCTCTTGGCCAGTGTAGCCTGGTGGTTAGAGTGGTTGCATTGTGAATTTATGATTATGGATTCAATACCTGGTGCCACCAAACATATTAGCCCTTTCAACTGTAAGGGCATTATAGTGTCATTGTTAATAGTGGGGTTTGATCACACTGTTCATCAGAGTTGGCAGTTGGTACTGTCAACCAGTTGTCTTCCCTCACGTCAACAGTTCAAAATTAGAGACAGAGGCAGACAGCCTTAGTAGCTTTTCCATAACTTAAAAAATAAATTTAGCACCCCTATGACTTAAAAAATAAGCATGTTTGGTGGCAATGGGAATCAAATCAGAGACTCTTGAATCATGAGGCAACCCCACTAATCACTGGGCTATGCCAGCCCAAAATCATTATGATTTCTCATTTTAATTACTCGAACAGTTGGAATAATCAAAAATAGTAATAATTAAAAAACTAATTTCCATTGGTCACTTATTTTTGTGAGTCATGACACTGAATCATTAAGCCGAACACAGTTGAATTAATCAAATTTTATAATGTGAAATTATAATGACAATAATTTTACTTGGATAGTTCGATTAATTGAAAACAGTAATAATCTATCACAAATAATAATTTAAATTATATAAAATTAATTGATTTAACCATAATTTTGATTAGCCAATTATTTTTGTTCCACTAATCAATGGTCATAGGTAATCAATTTTATAGAATGAGTTAACTACTCAGTTCTAGAGCAAGGTGTGATACCAGTTTATCACATAACAAATTGTATACCTGGAGGTACAACAGATCCAAGATGTGGTACCAGTGTATCACATAACAAATTATATATCTGAGGTACAACAGATCCAAGACGTGGTACCAGTGTATCACATAACAAATTTATACCTGGAGGTACAACAGATCCAAGGTGTGGTACCAGTTTATCACATAAAAAATTGTATACCTGAGGTACAACAGATCCAAGACGTGGTACCAGTGTATCACATAACAAATTTATACCTGGAGGTACAACAGATCCAAGGTGTGGTACCAATTTATCACATTGCACAATATGTCTCTAGCAGTAACATTTTGACAAAAGGTGTAGCTCCAGTAAATCACATAAAAAACTGTATTTTAGGGATTCACACTAATATTGATGCAAGTTATATTATTACTGTATCATATGATGAACAGTATTCCTGGGGTAATATTATTTCTGATGTAAGGTACTGTATTTATGACTTAAATTGTATTCCTATGACTACTAATACTACTGATGCAAGATGTGGTGCTATTGTAAAATATAACAAACTCCTAGCAATGATGCAACTTTTGATGTAAGGTATTGTTGTTATGTATGACTTAAACTGTATTCCAATGAATACTACTACTACTAATCATGATTACCATGGATTTAGGCTTCTTTTTGTTTTTAATTTATACCTGCTGTGATATTTGCTGCTATTTAATGTTACTATAGCTTTTTAACAGAACTGAATTGCGTGTCATTTGTTGTTCAAAAAGAGGCTTGTTTTTGTTGCAAAATCTGGCAACCCTAGTATTGATATAGAGGCGGTACCAGTGTATCAGCATATTAGCTATGAAAGTATACCACATAATAGTCACTAATGAGTCCAATGTAGCTTTAGACACTGGGTATAAATCAAATAGATTTGCAAAATAAAAAAAAGCATGGGGAGTAACCTCAATGGGTATATCCCCAATGGCCTTTGAGTTCAGAAGGAGTTCACTGTAATTTGGGGTAGATATTCCCACCAAGATGTCCCAAGAATGTAGCTTCTTATCTGACTTTAGAGAACCAGCAAGCCCTCTAATCCCTTCTGAATAAAAAAGGTTTGTCTGACAACAAATGCAAGAAAAAAAAACGAGATATAGGTTCAGAATGGGTTGAAGATTACTGGTCAGTAGTCTTCAAGACTTGGTCATTTACCAATTAGCTGTTTTTTTTACTATTTCATTTTTTGAGGATATCAGGGATCCACAATGAAAGGAGAAAGATTCAATAACCACTGACCCCACCCACCATGGGGTTCTACAAGGGGATGCATTATGATGTCAAAGAAGGAAACAGCAGCAACACCAGGGCTTATTAAGCACTATACCCAAACACCAGCATAGTATATTTAATAGTATACAAGTTTTAAGTTCTTAATCCTAAAAGGAAATATATATAAAAAAATCCTGAATTACCACTAGTGTAACACCATTGACACATTTTGTCTTAGCATGTCATCATCCCTATTTTATCCTTCACCCCTCAAAGATATATAAAATTAAATGTAAAATGCTCTCCATAAAATCGTTATTGCCCAAAC